AGCTATTCTGAGGCCTCGTCTATCGTACAAAAGAAAGCTCTTAGATCAGTGTTTTCCCAAATCGCGTTACTTACACTAACGTTTCGAAAAACAGTTGTTTTGTACATCAAAAGATGCCCCATTTTGGAGCTGAAAGTAATTTAAAATCCAGTTCACCTTGGGGCGCCTGGGTGGCTCAGTCGGTTGAGCGGCCGACTTCGGCTCAGGTCATGATCTCGCAGTCTGTGAGTTCGAGTCTCGTGTTGGGCTCTGTGCTGGCAGCTCAGAGCCTGGAGCCTGTTTCGGATTCTGTGTCTCTCTCTCTCTGACCCTCCCCCATTCATGCTCTGTCTCTCTCTGTCTCAAAAATAAACGTTAAAAAAAAAATTTTTTTTTTAATAAAAAAAAAATCCAGTTCACCTGGTTAAAAGAACACTATGGGGCTTTCTATCTCGAGAAGTTCTGAAATATTTAGCAGCTAAACAAAATCATCAAAGAGTCCCTGTCATTTTGTTCCTTTTCTAAATTGGCATCCTCACCACGGTGGCTCAGATTCCTTGATGGGCTCACAATGGCCATAGCCATTCCAAGCATCACTCACAGTTAAGACAACGTTTGGGGGTGAAGAAGATCCTTTCATTCTGAGCATCTCTTTTTATCATTAAGAAACAGCTTTCCCAGAAGCCTGCTAGGAGCTTCCAGTAAGTCTCAATGGCCAGCCTTGTTTTATGTATCCAAGTAGAAACTGACCACAAACAAGGGGTATGGGACCGTGACTGGTTCGGACCAATCATAAATTTCTCTTTTTGGCTGGGGGTGAGTTTCACCTACCCTAAAGCACAGGACTACATAATAACGTGGGGTAGGTACTGGAACAAAATCACAGATCCGTTAGTAAGGAGGAAGACTTTGGCAAAAGGTCACTGGGTGGGCAACCATCATGAATTGCTCTAGATGGTTAAGTTTGAGCTTTGCTGGGTTAAATAAAACTTAAGAGATTCCTTTATGAGAAGTCTTGTCAGAGCCTTTGCTATGCTAATAGGCATCACCTCTGTGGGGGAGTTAAAGTGTTTGGCTTTTTTTTTT